GAACGCGAAAACTAGGGAACGGAAGGAAGGGCATCGGTACCGATCGCTATCCTCCTCCGCATCCCGATCGGATGCTCAAAATCGTTCCCCGGACAGCTCCCCAGGTTTTTCTTCCCGGTCTGATGTTTGGCTGTCCGAGGCCCTGAATCGGCCCTTTGTGGACCGAAGTCGGTGAACGCATCGACAATTCTTGTCGCTTCGCATATTCCGCCAGCCCATCGAGTTGCCCTGATCTGGGGAGTGTAAGAGTAAGAGGTGGAACGATGTGTGTGTGTGTGTGACTGCGTGCGTGCGTGCGCGCGCGCTTGCGTGCGCGCGCGCGCGCGCGCGTGCGTGCGTGCGTGCGTGCGTGCGTGCGTGCGTGCGTGCTTGTGTGTGTGTGCGTGGGGTGTGTGCAGCCGTTAAGCCGAAGCTCGGGGTCAGTCTGAGGGGACCCAGGAGTTAACCATATTGCCTTCGCGGATGTTTCGACATGGGAGCCTTTTGGCAGATTACCTGGGCCATATTAAAGCCCTCTTGGGGGTCATCTTAGAAGCCTTTTGGATAATTCCAGGCTCTGGGGGATCCTAAAGATGTCAATATCCACTGCCAATGTGGATCTTGGGACACCGGTTCCCAAAGGCGGTCAGCAGTCACCCATTCCCAAGCCATACGCCGTCGGGCGCCTAGGCAAGAAATCAAGTTTAAGCAGTCGCAAGGAGAAAGGGGTGACACCCTGCGCCGGCTGATCAGGGCAGGGGGAGGAGATGGAGGAGGAGGAGGAGGAGGAGGAGGAGAGTGTAAACAGACTGGCCTGGACAGGACACGATCTTCATATTCGACTGGGACGACACCGTATTGCCCTCCACGTGGGTGCAGTGCCAGGGCCGCCGCCGCCGCCGCCTTCGAACCCCCGTCATGCTGCCAGCCCTGGCCCCCAGCATCGCCGAGTGGGCACCGTACAGTGGCCACGTCAGACGAGCGACGGACAAGAACAGGCTGGACTGCGCCGACATTGGCGCGTAAATCGCTCCGTAAGGTCGCGCGTAAGCTCCCTCGTTTCCAGTGTAGCGTGCGACTATGGTGGCCCGCGTAAGCCACCGCGTAAGGTCGCTATGTAATCTTGCGTAAGACTCGTTCTTTTTTCGCTGCTTAGATGAGACACCAGATTTCTGGCAGGCGTCCCACGAGAGTTCCCCAGGCCTCCTCTCGGTGGCGTCTAGGAGGGGGTGATGACAAGGGTGGGGTGGGGTGGAAATATCATGGTCAGGGCCATGATCTCTCCCCAGAATTCACGGCCCCCTATTTTTCTTCCAATGCGACCCTTGGCCCCCCGCTCGTGCGCGCATGTGCCTCGGGCCATGATTTGCGCCCCCCCTCCTCTTGGAAGCCCCCCTGTTGCATGCCCCCGATCCTCGCGTCGTGGAGCAAATCACGACGGAGGGATTCTCGGCCTCTGGATTCCTCTACCAGGCCACGGGGCCGTCAAACAACGTGTCAGGATGGAAAGCGGCCAGGAAGGCATTAGATATCGTGCGCAGGGACCGTCGCCGTCATACGGACCCCCACCTTTGTCAACATAATCTGCTGCAGCCGCGGAGCAGAAGCGCGCATGTGCCAAACCCAAGCAAATCTGTTTCAGCTGTGGCGTTGCTAGCCGACGCCTCTTGTCCCACGTCGTCATAGACAAAGATGTGTCATCTGTCGCTTTGCGTGGTTGTGCGCGTTTGTTCATATTGTAGTGGCCTCTGGCCAGTGCCGCCGATCCGGGGCGCGCCGACTGATGTGATCTTCCTTCGCCCTCGTCCCTTCTCTCTTTTTCCCTCCCTCCCCTTCTCACGCTGTCGAAGACGCCTACGGCGAATCACCGCCGCCCCCTGCCTTTTTGGAAGCGCCTATGTGGCCGAACGTTGAGGCCAGACCTGCCAAGCTATCGGACCATGTGTTCCCCGAACCGGTTTGGAAAGCCTTCGGGGAACACGTGGGCATCTTGAAGGTCATCTTGGCCGTCAGGAGGCCATTTTGACCCTTTCGGGCCTTCTTGGAGGACTCTTGGAGGGCTCTTGGGCCGTCTTGGAGGCCATCTTGAGCGTCTTGGAGGCCTCTTGGGCCGTCTTGGGGGCCTCTTGGGGCCGTGTCTTGGGCCTCTTGGACGATCTTTGGGGTCATTGGGGCCGTCTCGGGCCGTCGGAAGGCAGAAAAAACGCAAATGCCACAATCCTTCAAACACCCTTGGGAAAACAATGATTTTGGCCTTTTCGGGCGTTCCTGGAGGCCCTCTTGGAGGCCTCTTGGGCCGTCTTGGGCCATCTTAGGGCCATCTTCGGCCGTCTTGGTGGGCTCCTGGTCCGTCTGACGCCGTCGGAAGCCGTTTGGGGGCCTCTATGGGCCGACTTGGGGCCCTCTTGGAATGCTCCAGGGCCGTCTCGGAGGCCATCTTGGGCGTCTTACAGGCCTCCTGTGCCGTCTTGGGGGCCTCTTGGGGCCGTCTTGGGGCCCTCTTGGGCCGTTCTGGGGCCATCTTGGAGGCCTCTTGGGCGATCGTTCGGCAATATTTGGGGGCTCTTGGGCCGTCTTAGGGCCATCTTCGGCCGTCTTGGTGGGCTCCTGGTCCGTCTGACGTCGTCGGAAGCCGTTTGGGGGGCCTCTATGGGCCGATTTGGGGCCCTCCTGGAATGCTCCAGGGCCGTCTCGGAGGCCATCTTGGGCGTCTTACAGGCCTCCTGTGCCGTCTTGGGGGCCTCTTGGGGCCGTCTTGGGGCCCTCTTGGGCCGTTCTGGGGCCATCTTGGAGGCCTCTTGGGCGATCGTTCGGCAATATTTGGGGGCTCTTGGGCCGTCTCGGGCCATCGGAAGGCCGAAAAGAAGCAAATGTCAAAATCCGTCAAACACCTTAGGAAAATCAAGGTGTTTGGCCTCTGCTGGCCTTCCTGGAGGCCCTCTTGGGGGCCTCTTGGGCCGTCTTGGGCCAGCTTCGAGCCAACTTCGGCCATCTTGGTGGGTTCCTGGCACGTCTGACGCCGTCGGGAGCCGTATTGGGGGCCTTTCTGGGCCGACTTGAGGCCTTCTTGGCCGTCTTGAGTCTTGGAGGCCATCTTGGGCGTCTTGGAGGCCATCTTGGGCGTGTTGGATGCCTCCTAGGCTGTCTTGGGGCCCTCTTGGGGCTGTCTTGGAGGCCTCTTGGGCCGTCATAGGGGCCCTCTTGGGGGCCTCTTGTGCGATCTTGGGAGCCTCTTGGGCCGTCTTGGGCCGTCGGAAAGCCAAGAGGCGCAAATACCAGAATCCTTTAACAATCTATGGAAAATCAATGATTTTGGCATCGTCGGGCCTTCCTGGAGGACCTCTTGGAGACCTCTTGGGCCGTCTTGGAGGCCTCTTGCTGGCCTTTTGGGCCGTCTTAGGCCATCTTAAAGCCATCTTGGGCCGTCTTGGGTGCATCTTGGAGCCATCTTAGCCGTCTTCGAGGCCATCTTGGCCGTCTTGGAGCAATTTGGAGGCCATCCTGGGACATCTTGGCCGTCTTGGAGGCCATATTGGGCCATCTTGGGGCAAGACAGGCGACGACAGGTGAGTTTTCCGGGTGGCCGGCGGGACGGGCCGAAGCCCCAGGGCGAGTTCTTTTGAAACAAGAACCAAAACCAAAGCCATCTCATTTGGCACGCCAGGCACCCCTTTGCTAAAGCAGAAGGGAGCTGCGGATCGAAGACGCCCCCGGCGAATCACCGCCGCTCCCTGCCTTCTTGGAAGCTCCTATGTGGCCGAACGTTGGGGCCAGACCTCCCAAGCTATCGGACCATGTGTTCCCCGAATCGGTTTGGAAAGCCTTCGGGGAACACGTGGGCATCTTGAAGGTCATCTTGGCCGTCAAGAGGCCATTTTGACCCTTTCGGGCCTTCTTGGAGGACGTCTTGGAGGGCTCTTGGGCCGTCTTGGAGGCCATCTTGAGCGTCTTGGAGGCCTCTTGGGCCGTCTTGGGGGCCTCTTGGGGCCGTGTCTTGAGCTTCTTGGGCGATCTTTGGGGTCATTAGGGCCGTCTCGGGCCGTCGGAAGGCAGAAAAAACGTAAATGCCACAATCCTTCAAAAACCCTTGGGAAAACAATGATTTTGGCCTTTTCGGGCGTTCCTGGAGGCCCTCTTGGAGGCCTCTTGGGCCCTCTTGGAGGCCTCTTGGGCCGTCTTGGGCCATCTTAGGGCCTCCTTCGGTCCGTGGGGGTCCGTCTGACGCCGTCGGAAGCCGTTTGGGGGGCCTCTATGGGCCGACTTGGGGCCCTCTTGGAATGCTCCAGGGCCGTCTTGGAGGCCATCTTGGGCGTCTTAAAGGCCTCCTGTGCCGTCTTGGGGCCGTCTTCGAGCCCTCTTGGGCCGTTCTGGGGCCATCTTGGAGGCCTCTTGGGCGATCTTTCGGCGATTTGTGGGGGCTCTTGGGCCGTCTCGGGCCGTCGCCGAAAACAGCACATGTTCAAATCCGTCAAAGACCTTAGGAACATCAAGGTGTTTGGCTTCTTCCGGCCGTCCTGGAGGCCCTCTTGGGGGCCTCTTGGGCCGTCTTGGGCCAGCTTCGAGCCAACTTCGGCCATCTTGGTGGGTTCCTGGCACGTCTGACGCCGTCGGGAGCCGTCTTGGGGGCCTTTCTGGGCCGACTTGGGGCCCTCTTGGGGCGCTTCGGGGCCGTCTTGGAGGCCATCATGGGCGTCTTGGAGACCATCTTGATCGTGTTGGAGGCCTCTTGGGCCGTCTTGGGGCCCTCTTGGGGCCGTCTTGGAGGCCACTTGTGCAAGTAGTCGGCGGAAGCTGCGCAGCGGTATTGATCTGTGAATATTTTCTGAACTCCTAAAGCTCGAGAGCCCTGCTCACAGGGCTTCTAAACTCCCGTGCCTCTGAGCACAAGCGAGGGGGCGCTAGAGCCGAGACGGTAGCAGGAAAAATACATAACACAACTTCATTCACAAACTGAAGCTATGCAATATCATGGAACATGAAACATTTGCCACCCTGCTGGACTCACTCACTCATGCTCAGGCTTGCTCGTACTCGGAATTGCACAGATAAGGGTCCTCCAAGCTGAGCATCCTTGAGTCTACCTCCTCGTCTGAACTGCACTCGGTCATGGCCTCGTATGGCGGGAAGTCGGGGCCCGCAGCTGCATTGACATGAACTGTAGAACCACATGGAGTCTTCAGAATCCCAACTCCCACGTGTTCGAACGGCTGGATCCCAGCTGCCTTCCTCTTACGCGCACTCTGGTACTTCTCGTCGTAGACTAACTTCCAGCGGTGCCCGTTGTTGAAGCACATCCGCAGCTGGCCCGGCTATTTGTCCCTTCGTCAGCGAGTTGGCGAGCTGAGCATCTCCATGCACCCAGAGCATCCAGTTGTTCGCCGCCTGTGTCCCTTCCTTCAGCGTCATCGCCTCCACGTCAGTCCGTTTCTCCTTGCCCCGGAAGGTGTAGACCGTCGTCTGCAGCTTGTCGTACAGCCCTTTCGAGTCCACAACCACCGCTGGTGGCGGTCTGCGTAGAACTCCCTCGGGACTCCTCCAGTCGATGTTGTTGCCCAGGATCTCCAGCCACTGCAACTTGATACCGAACAGCTCGTCCTCCGCGTCCACAGCTGAGCGTGTCTCACATGCCACGGAACTGCGGCAACCACGATCGATCTTGCCTGGCTTGCAGGATATGAGGCTCACGTCCGCCTCGTCACCCTTGAGGATCTTCAGAGGTGCCAGCCCTGCCACCAGGCCCTTCGTGGACTTCCCATCGGGTCGGTTGGCCTCGGAAGAGTCAGACCACTCCACTGGCACCAACACCTGTGACTGAGAGTGGCTGTGGATCACCACGGGTAGGTCAGCACATTCACGAACACGATCAACTAGTCGGTTGGTCTCGTTGATGGTCTGCACAGTGGAAGAGGGTATCGTACTGAGCAATAGGCTGGCGTCGGCCGAGTGCATGGGACCTGACTGCTCGGACCTCCACCCGATGGCTCCCAAGATAGCCCTCAGCTGGCCCTTCTCCTTGTCAGTGGTCGGCATGTCCTTGGCCTTCTTGCGCTCCGGGGTGAGGTACGCCTTCTCGATGGTTTTCACGTACTCGCTCTGATCCATGCGGAAGCTCCTGTCGGGCTGCTGCTTGATCCTCACCCCCGTCTGCATGAACTCCTCCGACTCCCAGGCCTTCCACTTGAAGCGCTTCTCGATCTGCTCCCGGGCGGTGATCCACCTGGGGTCCGCGTCGTTGCCACCGAGCAGGAAGTCGTCCACGTGCGAGCCCGCAATGGCTATGATGTCCAAGTCTCCCTTCGCCGCGATCAGGTATTCCAGCACTCCTGGGTTCGTGAAATCCTTCAGCGCCTCCTTGGTGAAGCTGGTATCCTTGCCGTGCGCGTCACCGTAGAGCACCCACACGCAGGGGTCCATCTTCATCTGGGCCCAACCGAACTCCTCCAGCGCCTCGCTCACGGTCATGAACCACTCGATCGCCGCCTCCACGAGCCCGTAGACCGCCTTCCTGAGCCGCATGGCAACACCCTCGGGCATCCCCAGGGCTGCCGCTAACTCCTTCACGGGCATCACGCATAGGTCATGCTGAATCTCTCGGTTCTGCGTGAAAGCTCCCGTCACGTCCGCCTTGTAGCCCTTGAAGCCCAGCCACGCCATCGCCTGCAGAACCAGGTGCCTTGAAGTTCTCGTCATGGTTGGAGCGGTAGTCGGACGGTGCTCGTACTCGGAGTCCATGTAACCCAGAACAGCGTTCCTCGCCTTCGGCTTCTTCGCGCCCGTGTTCTCGTCCATTTTCCTGTCGAGAATCCACCTCATGCGCATGATGTCCTCAGGAGGCGGGGTCACTCCTGGTGGGAGTGTCTCCAGCACCGAAGACGCAATGTAGTTGTTCACCTCCGTGGCCTTCGCTTGGCTGAACTTCGCCATCTCGTCTGGGGTCTACGTCCTCTCCGAAATCTCGCGCTTGCCTTTCCGCAGCAGGCTCGCCATGTAGGTGCTCATATGCCTCGTGGCCTGCTTGAGCGGCTTGCCCTCCAATGGAACCTCAACGGAGATCTCCCGCGACGTACCTTGACGAGCCCAACATGCCCGGGCATCTGGAGTGGACTTCGCCATGAGGGCCATGTTCTCCTTCATCTGCTCCTCCGCCAGGGCTGCTCGAGACGCTCGAGCTTGGTCGGCTGTTCCTCATGGATGGTGTCCTTTCTTGATAATCCGCTTCCGCACTGGTGGTGTTGGACGGCCCCCTGAGGTCTGGCCGCCTCCTGCAGCGTGCCCTGTGCGGGCCTTCTTCAATGGGGGGGCTGGTTCAGGCAGCCCCTCCCAGGTCGAGATCTCCACGTCATTCTCGGTGGGGTCGTGGCCAGTGAAGTCCAGGTACTCGTGGTTCAGCGCCTGATTCATGAAGGTGTGGACCGTCCAGGGCGTGTCCTTGCCTCCCATCAGCTCGGCGCATGCGATCTCCCGTGAGGAAGCCGTTCGGATCTGGCAGAAGTCCACCTTGATGATACGCCCTGCTCTTACAAGCCACACCACGGATCCTGCACGCCCAGGGTGTAGGACACGTCCTTCGCCAAGGTCGCCGTCTACCGGCCGCGCTGTCTCTGTGGCCAGGACCCTCGCGAGCCCCTTGAAGCGGCCCTTGGCTTCGCCCTTCTCCTTCCTGAAGTAGCGCGCCCACATGCCTGGCACCGCGGACTTCACCGCCTGATTCTTCGCGTTCTCCGCTCTGCTGAGGCGCCGCATGTAGACCTGTCTCAGGTACTCTTGCTCTGCCGCGTACATCCTGGCGTAGTTCTCCCCGTACTCTTTGTCGACCCTCTGGGCCTCCACGTAGGGCAGCTCGTCAAAGTCGCTCTCAAGAAGTGTCCGTCCAGGTCTGGTGCCCGTCCTAGGGCGCGTTGAAGGGGTGAGTGTCCTCGAACATCTTCATGTGAGTTTCCAGCTGCGGTCGCCCTTGCCAGGGCCTCCTCCGTCGTCATCTCGGGGTTCTCCGCCGCCAGCTTGTCCATGGTCCCCTTGGCGGCCTGGATGGCTTCCTCGGCGAGGGAGATGTGCCAATGAGCCTGGCCAGGTATGGGTTCGTACCCGATGGAGTCGGAATCGAAGTGCCCAGCCGCTTGCTTGGACATCCATGATCCTTCGGGGTCTACCTTTACCCTCTGCGGCTTGCCGAAGTAGGGCATCCAGCGCTCCTCGTAGAACAACTTGAGGTCCGCCCATACTGGGTTCCTGTGCCGGTCCTCGCCAACCATGTGGTAGAGCAGCTTGCTAACTCGCACCCTGCAGTTATCGTTTATGATCAGGGAAATCTTGGACTTGACCTTCGTCTGCGGGTGCCCCCACTCGAACTGGTCCGCCTGGATGTGCTTCCACTTTGGCGGGATGGCCTCTAAGCTGACGGGCGGATGCGTAGGCTTGAACTTGTTCGCCTCCTCGCATGCGTCGCAGTGGAAGTCCTTGGCCACTTGTAGCACCTGTGGGCTGGCGCCCTTCCTCCGAAGCGCGTTCAGCATGGGGGCCTTCGAGCTGTGACCTGAGCCGCGGTGGATCGAGGTGAGCCACTTCATGATCTGCTGGTACTCCTTCGAGTTCACGTCTGTGTTCATCTTCGTCTCCTCCTGGTTGGCTGCCATCGCCTGGTCGATCACCTTCTCGGGCTCTGCCAAGCACCTCAGGAACTCGTGGTAGTCTGGCGCGGCCTCCTCGATCATCGCACGAACCGCTCGCCTTGCAAACTCGTCCGGGTAGTAGCTGGTGGCCGCTGTGAGACCGCCTCCTGTAAGCTCTCCATGTCGGTGATCTCCTGAGCACTCCGTGGACATCCTAGCGGCCATCTTCGATCAGCCACTCCTGCAGCAGCGGCAGGCCCTTCGTGTCCTTCACACCGAGCTGGCAGCCTGCCACCTTCACCACAGTCATTGAACAGTCCTCCACCATCTTCCTGATCATCGTGTGGCCCCAGCCCTCGCACTTGATGGGCCACTCCCAGTGTACATGCTTGCCTTGAGCCACCTGGTCGTACACCAGCTGCACCGCGCCCTTGTACTCCTTGATGGCTTGCATCCTGCGCTTCCTGGTGGCCTCGGCCCTTATGGGGTTGGAACCGTTGAAGCCGAGGGTAAGGTTCGATAGCGGGCCGCACCTCGTACTGATCCACAGGTGGTCTGGTTCGGCTTCATCACGTGCCTCTCGAGCCCTTTGGTTGCCGCCATTGGTCCCCAGCTTGAAACCATTCCAGGCACTGATGCGACATACAGCGTCCTCTCCGAACTTCTTCGCCATCTTCGTGCTCAGGATGGACGTTGGGTTGCATGCGACCTCCATCAGCTTAGTGCCGCCGTGAGCCACCAGCGCTTCGTAGTCCTCCAAGTGGCCGTTCTCCTTGATGCACTTGGCGAGCCAGCGCTGCTTCCTGGGGTCCAGCTCCTTGGTGCAGTTCAGGCCTCTGCCAGACCATTCGGACTGGAACCCATTGGTACGAAGCTCCCGGCGATGGAACTGGCTGAGCTCGCTTGGTCCTCCAGCTGGCCGATCCTCTGGTTGAGCTGGTTCAGCGCCGCCAGCACCTGCTCCTGGACCAAGCGGTTGGACTCCTTCTCCTCCTTCTTCACCTTGATCGCAGCCTCGAGCCTTTCCTGCTCCACGATCTCGTCCTCCATGATCGCGTCCACCGTCCTCCTGCGGGATGACCTCGCGCCCCCTCGAGCCTGGACCGGCTCCTTCGGGACCTCCTTCGGATCCCTGGTCACCTCCGCCTTCTCGTCGATGTTCTCCTGCTCGTTGAGCCATGAGGCAAACCGGGCCAGCTCCCAGCTGCTCTCCTTGTTCGACTCCTTCTGGCACCAGGACGCGTAGGACGGGTACTGGCTCCGAACCTGCTGGTAGGTCATGGCTCCGTGCTTCCCGAAGCCCATGTGGTCGGTCGGCTCTGGTGCGTGCTTCATGAGGATGGCCTTGCGGATCGAGAGCTTGGGTGACGGATTCGTCATGCCGTGTGTCACGTGGGCGCCTACCTCTTCGGCCTTCACCAACAGCTGGGACTTCTTCATCGAGCTGAGGCCCTTCATGGCCACCTGCGCCGGCGTCTCGTCCTTCGGAAACATGTGTCCCTTGAGGACCTGTTTCAGCTCGTCCACGCCCCAGGCCGGACTGCACGGTAGGCCAAGCTCCTGGAGTAGGTGGAGCACCTCCGCCTTGTAGAGGCCCTGCACCGCACTGCGAGACGTTGGCATCTGAAGCGGCCGCATTGCACGAGCATGCGATCCTGGCGCAGGTGAGCTGGACCGCCCCGCGGATGAGGTTACCCCAGCGCATCCCTTTGTTGACATCGACGGCCTTCGGCTTGAGATATGAAAGATCTGGTGGATCTGGAACTGCTGGTGGCTGGATGCCGTCGGTCGCTGTCGACTCGAGTGAACTTGCCTGGCTCGAGCCCGAACGGCTATGGAAGTGCAGCTGGGCCCTCTGGTTCGCCTGGGATGCTGGGTGAGCTCCGCGATCCATCGCGGGGCTAACCTGAGACGGCACCTGACCTTTGTGAGGAGCTGTGGCTCTGAGGTCTGACGCGGGGCCCAACTGAGGCTGTGACCGAATGGCATGATGAATTCCGCAGCCAACTGTGGGGTACCCCTGATCACAGGACTGACCTCAGCACGCACCTGCTGATCCGACTGTAGACTCATCGAGGACAACGCTGTGATCCGATTGAGATGGATACATGTAGCGCTCCAACTGCTGAGCCCGAGTATCCGAGCTGCTGTCTGGCCCCTGGCACACTGCGGCCACTGGCCTGCTGTCCCACTCACTGATGTTCTCGCAGATGGTCTTGAAGTTCCGCAGCTGGTTCTGGTCCCTAATGCGCTGCTCCAGCAAGTCGTCAACCAGGCTCATGTAGTGGTGTCCTCCATCAGGTGACTCCTCCAGCTGAACGGGGATGTCCGGTGCGAGCTTCACGAACACGGTCACCCCAGTCTCGCAGTCCACGACGGCTCCCAGCTTCTTTAGAACCTTCTTGGACACCAGGATCGGGACATCCTTCGAGAAGCCGTTGATGGCGATATCGCCCTCCATGCCCGCGCCCGTGATGCCGAACTTCACCTGTCCGTAGGCGCGTCCCTTCTCGCCGTTCCCGAAGCTATAGACTGGCCTGTAGTCCTGGTTCACATCCAGCAGCCTGGTGTCGCCATACTTCTCCATGTTCTTGCGGGCCACGATGTCCAGCGCACGCTCACCACCCATGGCGTGGGTGTGCACCCTAGGTCGACGATGCCCTTGCCCTCGCGGATGGCCTGGTCTGCGAACATCGCCTCGCACTCCACGTCCTGAGGCTCCTGCTCGGCGACCAGCGAGGCCACGAGGTTGAGCTTCAGCTCCCTTCTGCACTCAGCTACCTTCGCGCTCGCCTCTGGCGTGCCAGCAGCTCCTGGCCGGAGCCGGGGGTCATGGCGGTCCTGGCAGTCGTGAACCCAGTGAGCTCCACCACACTTCGCGCACTTCTTCTGGCCCTTGTTCGGCGGCAAGATCTGGTCTCTACCTCCTACCTGGGGAGGAAGTGGTCGGCGTGATCCCGCTGGGAACCCCTTGCCTGACCCCTTCGGTGCTGGCCGTCCTCCCCGGTAGAAGCCCCTGCTCAGCCGGCTGTCGGCCTGGGCCTCCCGAGCCTGGCGGAGGGTGCGCTGGGCGGTGTGAATCGCCGCAAGCGCCTCCGCCTCCTCCTGCTGAGCTGCCAAGTACGTATCGATCTCGTCATCGTTCGCCTCCTCCTGGCCTGGGTCTTCCTCCTGCCACTCGTAGTTCTCCACGTCGGCTGCGAAGCTGCTCGCGTCTGGCCCATCGTCTCCGTCAAGCCACGTACGATCATCTTCTCCCAGCTGGGCTGTGTACGCCTTCGGGGACCTCGAGTGCCCGTCGCGCTCCGCCAGGTCGTCGTCCTCCCAGCTCGAGATCAGCTTCTCCCGGATGATGTTGACTTCCAGCGAGCCGCCCGTCGCCGTCATGATGGCAGCCCTCTCGCGCGAGTCGAGCCCCGACCGCACGAGCATCAGCCAGCCCAAGACCAGGCTAGGGAACACCTCCGGCATGTCCCCGAGCTCCTCCTCGGCGTCCGCGTCTTGGTCAGCAGCGCTCCAGTGGTGCGACTCCTTTTTCTCATCGTCTGGCAGGCCGTCCGTGTACTCCCACGTCCATTCGCTACCCTCGAATGGCCAGTCACGTTCGACCTCGATCCAACGGTAAGGTCGCCCGGACCTCTTCCACGGTGGCGCGACCTGAATTGGAACTGTGTGTCCGAGCGCGCGCGCCAACGCGCGCCTGAGGTACTGGTACCCGGTCTCGAAGCGGTCCGTCCACTGCTGCATCGGCTCTAGCTTGCGGCGCTTCGTCTTGATCAAGAATGTCTCTAGCTCCTGGCCGACGTCGGGCACAGCCTGTCTAGAGCACCTGCGCTCCAGCCACGCCAGGAGCCGCTCCACGCCGTCGGGCCTGGAGAGCCAGCCAGCCTTGCATCGCTCGACCGCGATCTCGGCCCGGCTCGTGAGCTTCGCCTCCAGCCGCGGGCCGCACAAGTACCTGTCCTCCCTCTTGGTGCCCTCCTGGTACTGGAGGGCCTTCCGCCTGTACGTCCGCCAAGTCTTGGGATCCCCATCCCAGCTTGGCACCTTGCCTCGATGATCCTCGGTCATCGTATTCAAACTCCGTGTCAACCACGTGCTCCTGCTACCATGCAAGTAGTCGGCGGAAGCTGCGCAGCGATATTGATATGTGAATCTTTTCTGAACTCCTAAAGCTCGAGAGCCCTGCTCACAGGGCTTCTAAACTCCCGTGCCTCTGAGCACAAGCGAGGGGGCGCTAGAGCCGAGACGGTAGCAGGAACAATACATATGGAAAACACAACTTCACTCACAAATTGAAGCTATGCAATATCATGGAACATGAAACATCTGCCACCCTGCTGGACTCACTCACTCATGCTCAGGCTTGCTCGTACTCGGAATTGCATACTTGGGCCGTCATGGGGCCCTCTCGGAGGCCTCTTGGGCGATCTTGGGGCGATCTTTGGGGCCTCTTGGGCCGTCTTGGGCCGTGGGAAAGCCGAAACGGCGCAAATTCCAAAATCTTTCAAACGCCGCAGGAAAATCAATGATTTTGGCCTCTTCGGCCTTCCTGGAGGACATCTTGGAAGCTTCTGGGGCCGTCTTGGAGGCCTCTTGCGGCCTTTTGGGCCGTCTCAGACCATCTTGAGGCCATCTTGGGCCGTCTTGGATGCATCTTGGGGCCATCTTAGCCGTCTTCGAGGCCATCTTGGCCGTCTTGGAGCAACTTGGAGGCCATCCTGGGACATCTTGGCCGTCTTGGAGGCCATATTGGGCCATCTTGGGGCAAGACAGGCGACGACAGGTGGGTTTTCTGGGTGGCCGGCGGGACGGGCCGAAGCCCCAGGGGGAGTTGTTTTGGAAAAAGAACCAAATCCAAAAACCATACCATCTGGCACGCCAGGCACCCCTTTGCTAAAGCAAAAGGGGGCGGCGGATCGAAGACGCCTACGGCGAATCACCGCCGCCCCCTGCCTTTTTGGAAGCGCCTATGTGGCCGGCCGAACGTTGAGGCCAGACCTGCTAAGCTATCGGACCATGTGTTCCCCGAATCGGTTTGGAAAGCCTTCGGGGAACACGTGGGCATCTTGAAGGTCATCTTGGCCGTCAGGAGGCCATTTTGACCCTTTCGGCCTTCTTGGAGGACGTCTTGGAGGCCATCTTGAGCGTCTTGGAGGCCTCTTGGGCCGTCTTGGGGGCCCCTTGGGGCCGTCTTGGGCTTCTTGGGCGATTTTTGGGGTCACTGGAGCCGTCTCGGGCCGTCGGAAGGCAGAACAATAAACAAATGCCACAACCCTTCAAACACTCATGGGAAAACAATAATTTTGGTCTTTTCGGGCCTTCCTGCCAGGAAGTTCCTGGAGGCCCTCTTGGAGGCCTCTTGGGCCGTCTTGGGCCATCTTAGTGCCATATTCGACCGTCTTGGTGGGCCCCTGGCCCGTTCGACGCCGTTCGACGCCGTTTGGGGGGGCCCTCTTGGAATGCTCCAGGGCCGTCTTGGAGGCCATCCTGGGCGTCTTACAAGCCTCCTGGGCCGTCTTGGGGGCCTCTTGGGGGTGTCTTGGGAGCCTCTTGGGCCGTTCTGGGGCCATCTTGGAGACCTCTTGGACGATCTTTGGGGGCTTTTGGGCCGTATCGGGCCGTCGGAAGGCCGAAACGAAGCAAATGTCAGAATCCTAGGAACATCTATGGGAAATCAGTGCTTTTGGCATTTTCTGGCCTTGCTGGAGGCCCTCTTGGAGGCCTCTTGGGCAGTCTTGGGCCAGCTTCGAGACACCTTCGGCCATCTTGGTGGGCTCCTGGCCCGTCTGACGCCGTCGGAAGCCGTTTGGGGGGCCTTTCTGGGCCGACTTGGGGCTCTCTTGGGGTGCTCCAGGGCCGTCTTAGAGGTCATCTTGGGCGTCTTGGGGGCCTCTTGGGTCCTCTTTGTGCCCTCGGGCCGTCTTGGGGGCCCTCTTGGGCAGTCCTGAGGCCATCTTGGAAGCCTTTTGAGCGCTGTGGGGGCGACCTTTGGGGCCCCTTGGGCCGTCTTGCGTCGTCGGAAAGCCGAAAATAAGCGAATGCCAGAATCCTTCAAAAACGCATGGGATATCAGTGTTTTTGGCCTCTTCGGGCCCTCCTGGAGGACCTCTTGGAGGCCTTTGGGGGGCCTCTTGGGCCATCTTGGGCCCTCTTGGACTCTCTTGGGTCGTCTTGGAGGCCGCCTTGGACCATCTTGGGCGGACTTGGAGGCCATCTTGGACCATCTTGGAGGCCATTTTGGGCCAACGTGGCCATCTTGGAGGCCATCTTGGGCCATCTTGAGCGAACAAATTGGGAATTGAGCGCCTTCCGGGTTGCCGGCGGGACGGGCCGAAGCCCCAGGGGGAGTTCTGTTGAACAAAGAACCAAAACTAAAAACCTAGAGGGTTCAGCACGCCAGGCACCCCTGTGATGAATCAACAGGGGGCGGCGGATCTAAGACGCCTACAGTGAATCACCGCCGCCCCCTGCCTTTTTGGAAGCGCCTATGTGGCCGAACATTGAGGCCAGACCTGCCAAGCCATCGGACCATGTGTTCCCCGAATCGGTTTGGAAAGCCTTCGGGGAACACGTGGGCATCTTGAAGGTCATCGTGGCCGTCTTGGAGGCCTCTTGGGCGATCTTTCGGCGATCTTTGGGGGCTCTTGGGCCGTCTCGGGCCGTCGGAAGGCCGAAAAGAAGGAAATATCCAAATCCGTCCAAAACCTATGGAAAATATATGTTTTTGGCCTCTTCTGGCCTTCCTGGAGGCCCTCTTGGGGGCCTCTTGGGCAGTCTTGGGCCAGCTTCGGGCCCACTTCGGCCCTCTTGGTGGGTTCCTGGCACGTCTGACGCCGTCGGGAGCCGTCTTGAGGGCCTTTCTGGGCCAACGGGGGACCCTCTTGGGGCGCTTCGGGGCCGTCTTGGAGGCCATCTTGGGCGTCTTGGATGCCATCGTGGGCGTGTTGGAGGCCTCTTGGGCCGTCTTGGGGCCCTCTTGGAGCCATCTTGGAGGCCACTTGGGCCGTCATGGGGCCCTCTTGGGGGCCTCTTGGGGGGTCTTGGGGGCCTCTTGGGCCGTCTGGAGCCGTCGGAATGCCGAGAAGAAGCAAATTCCAAAATCTTTCAAACACCTAAGGGAAATCAATGATTTTGGCTTCGTCGGGCCCTCCTGGAGGAGCTCTTGGAGGGCTCTTGGGCCGTCTGGGAGGCCTCTGGGGGGCCTCTTGGGCCGTCTTGGGCCGTCTTGAACTCTCTGAGGCCGTCTTGGAGGCTGTCTTGGACCATCGTGGGCGGACTTGGAGGCCATCTGGGGCCGTCTTGGAGGTCATCCTGGCCGTCTTGTGTGGCCGAACGTTGAGGCCAGACCTGCCAAGCCATCGGACCATGTGTTCCCCGAATTGGTTTGGAAAGCCTTCGGGGAACACGTGGGCGCCTTGAAGGTCATCTTGGCCGTCTTGGAGGCCTCTTGGGCGATCTTTCGGCGATCTCTGGGGGCTCTTGGGCTGTCTCGGGCCGTCGGAAGGCCGAAAAGAAGGAAATGTCAAAATCCGTCCAAAACCTCAGGAAAACATATGTTTTTGGCCTCTTCTGGCCTTCCTGGAGGCCCTCTTGGGGGCCTCTTGGGCCCTTATGGGCCAGCTTCGAGCCCATTTCGGCCATCTTGGTGGGTTCCTGGCACGTCTGACGCCGTCGGGAGCCGTCTGGGGGGCCTTTCTGGGCCAACGGGGGACCCTCTTGGGGCGCTTCGGGGCCGTCTTGGAGGCCATCGTGGGCGTCTTGGAGGCCATCGTGGGCGTCTTTGAGGCCTCTTGGGCCGTCTTGGGGCCCTCTTGGGGCCATCTTGGAGGCCACTTGGGCCGTCATGGGGCCCTCTTGGGGGCCTCTTGGGCGATCTTAGGGGCCTCTTGGGCCGTCTGGAGCCGTCGGAATGCCGAGAAGAAGCAAAGTCCAAAATCTTTCAAAAACCTAAGGGAAATCAATGATTTTTGCCTCTTCGGGCCCTCCTGGAGGACCTCTTGGAGGCCTCTTGGGCCGTCTGGGAGGCCTCTGGGCGGCCTCTTGGCCCGTCTGGGGCCGTCTTGGACTCTCTTGGGCCGTCTTGGAGGCCGCCTTGGACCATCTTGGGCGGACTTGGAGGCGATCTTGGACCATCTTGGAGGCCATCTTGGGCCATCTTGGCCATCTTGGAGCCGTCTGGGGCAGAAAATTGTGGCCGTGGAAAAAATCCCGGGACCCTGGCGGGACGGGCCGAAACCCATTGGGACAGTTCTTTTGGAAAAAGAACCAAAACCAAAAGCGATAGCATCTGGCACGCCGGGCACCCCTTTGCTGAAGCAGAAGGGGGCGGCGGATCGAAGACGCCTACGGCGAATCACCGCCGCCCCCTGCCTTTTTGGAAGCGCCTATGTGGCCGAACGTTGAGGCCAGACCTGCCAAGCTATCGGACCACGTGTTCCCCGAATCGGTTTGGAAAGCCTTCGGGGAACACGTGGGCATCTTGAAGGTCATCTTGGCCGTCTTGGAGGCCTCTTGGGCAAGCTTTGGGCGATCTTTGGGGCTTTTTGGGCCGTCTCGGGCCAGCTTCGAGCCAACTTCGGCCATCTTGGTGGGTTCCTGGCACGTCTGAAGCCGTCGGAAGCCGTTTGGGGGCCTCTATGGGCCGACTTGGGGCCCGCTTGGAATGCTCCAGGGCCGTCTTGGAGGCCATCTTGGGCGTCTGGGAGGCCATCTTGGGCGTGTTGGAGGCCTCTTGGGCCCTCTTGGGGCCCTCTAGGGGCCATCTTGGAGGCCACTTGGGCCATCATGGGGCTCTCTTGGGGGCCTCTTGGGCGATCTTGGGGGCTTCTTGGGCCGTCTCGAGCCGTCGGAGAGCCGAAAAGGCGCAAATGCCAGAATCCTTCAAAAACCAATGGAAAATCAATGATTTTGGCCTCTTCGGACTCTCCTGGAGGACCTCTTGGAGGCCTCTTGGGCCGTCTGGGAGGCCTCTGGGGGGCCTCTTGGGCCGTCTTGGGCCGTCTTGGACTCTCTTGGGCCGTTTTGGAGGCCGTCTTGGACCATCTCGGGCGGACTTGGAGGCCATCTTGGGCCATCTTCGCGATTTTTTGAGGATGTCCCGAGCGAAACGGCCGTTTTTTGGAGGATTTTTTCCGGTCGTTGAGCACGTTTGGGGGCCTTCCGGGTGGCCGGCGGGTTCTGCCGGAGCCCACTGGGGAGTTCTTTTGGAAAAAGAACCAAAACCAAAACCTGAAACATCCAGCACGCCGTGCACCCTTGCAAGCAGGGGGCGGCGGATCGAAGACGCCTACGGCGAATCACCGCCGCCCCCTGCCTTTGTGGAAGCGCCTATGTGGCCGAACGTTGAGGCCAGACCTGCCAAGCCATCGGACCATGTGTTCCCCGAATCGGTTTGGAAAGCCTTCGGGGAACACGTGGGCGTCTTGATGGTCATCGTCGCCGTCTTGGAGGCCTCTTGGGCGATCTTTCGGCGATCTTTGGGGGCTCTTGGGCTGTCTCGGGCCGTCGGAAGGCCGAAAAGAAGGAAATGTCAAAATCCGTCCAAAACCTCATGAAAATCAGTGATTTTGGCATCTTTTGGCCTTCCTGGAGGCCTCTTGGGGGCCTCTTGGGCCCTTTTGGGCCAGCTTCGAGCCAACTTCGGCCATCTTGGTGGGTTCCTGGCACGTCTGACGCCGTCGGGAGCCGTTTTGGGGGCCTTTCTGGGCCAACGGGGGACCCTCTTGGGGCGCTCCAGGGCCGTCTTGGAGGCCATCTTGGGCGTCTTGGAGGCCATCTTGGGCGTGTTGGAGGCCTCTTGGGCCCTCTTGGGGCCCTCTAGGGGCCATCTTGGAGGCCACTTGGGCCATCATGGGGCTCTCTTGGGGGCCTCTTGGGCGATCTTGGGGGCTTCTTGGGCCGTCTTGAGCCGTCGGAGAGCCGAAAAGGCGCAAATGCCAAAATCCTTCAAAAACCAAGGGAAAATCAATGATTTTGGCCTCTTCGGACTCTCCTGGAGGACCTCTTGGAGGCCTCTTGGGCCGTCTGGGAGGCCTCTGGGGGGCCTCTTGGGCCGTCTTGGGCCGTCTTGGACTCTCTTGGGCCGTTTTGGAGGCCGTCTTGGACCATCTCGGGCGGACTTGGAGGCCATCTTGGGCCATCTTCGCGATTTTTTGAGGATGTCCCGAGCGAAACGGCCGTTTTTGGAGGATTTGTTTCCGGATTGAGGTGTTTTCGGCTTCCTCCCGGGACCCCGGCGGGACGGGCCGGAGCCCACTGGGGAGTTCTTTTGGAAAAAGAACCAAAACCAAAACCTGACAGCTCGTCCAGCACGCCGTGCACCCCTGCAAGCAGGGGGCGGCGGATCTAGTAGCCTTCGGCCTATCCCGCCACCGTGCCTGGGTGGTGGGTCAGAGGCCTCATGGATGCTGGTTGGGATCTCGTGGTTGGCCTCTTCGGGGCCTCTGGGAGGCAGTTTTGAGGCCCCTCCGGGCCTCTTGGGCAGTTGCGGGGCTTCTTGGGGCCACTTTGGGGCCTCGTTGGGGGCCTCGTTGGGGCCTCTTGGAGCTTTTTGGGGGCCTCTTGGGAGCTTCTTGGGGCCTCTTGGGGGCCTCTTGGGAGCTTCTTGGGGCGGGAGGGGCGGGGAACTCGAGTTCGGGACCCCCTCGGAGGCCACGATCCTCGTGAGGGGTGTCGGAAAATGCCCTCCCCAGAGACACACGGGTAGCCGCGACAAGCCTTAGGAGAACCCCGGAAAACGGAGCACAACTCGTCCCCCCCCCCCTCCCCCCCCCTTCCCACCCCGCCCCCCTCCCCAGCAGAGCTGAAGCTCAGGCTGTAGGCTGTAGGCTGTAGCTGAGGCTTTTTCAAACATGCCGGATCGGCAGACTTCGGTTGGCAGATCAGCTCGAATTTTTTGATTTGGGACTCTGTCACTCCTTGGGCAAGCTCTGGGATGATGCGCCTGTTGCGGCTCAAGCGGCCAGGGTCGGGTGGGTGCGTGCCACAGGGCAGCAACCAAGGCCCAGAGTAGAGGGAGATGCCGTGAGGGCTCAACATGCAGTTCTACATCTTTTTTGTGGTCTTGGTCGCCGGTGGCAGCACGAACACCGCGTCTCAGGGCCCCGCGCCCTGAGCCTCGGAGCTGCCCCTTCTGTAATGATTGACGGCGCGAGAGCGCGGAGACAGCCGCGTGTCGCGCTTCGCGCGGCGCGAACCGAGATGTTTTAGGGTAGCGCCGCGCCGACTCGGCGTCAACCCCCGCGCGGGCGTTCAAGGTGGAACGCGGCCAGTGGCCCAGAATCGCCGCGATCGTCTGAGGTTGAACGATCCGCGAAGTGTCAGGAGCCGGCGCCCACGTCATCGCGACATGAGCCTGCTGCAACGAGGGGATCACACAGCTTGCAAGATGCGACGACTTGGGGGCCCGTAAGCCGTTTTGGCTGAATTGTACATTCGTTCGTCGAACTGCAGCCGCTGTTGAATTCTGCCACCGCTCCCAGCCTCGCCCGGGGTGATGGGGCGACCATTTCCCGCGTCCCCGCGGCGGCCGCTTGACTGCCGCGGTGTGTCTGTAAAGTATCCATGCTGCCCCGCGGACGACCGCGACGTCGAGCTGGTGCCGGACCTTCAGCAGTGGAGCTTTGCCGAGTTGCGCGATTTGACTGATACGCTCGACAGCGGCAATCGCATCATCCTTGCACGCGGAACTGAAGAAGGCACACCAGGAGTGTTTGTGATCAAGAAGATGCCGCGTTCGGGCAAGCTCGGCCCGAAGAATTTGAACGAGGTCTTCGCCTTGCTGGAAGTGGAGGAGGAGAAGCTCCCCGGCGTGCACAAGGCGTCCGCCGTGTTCAAGGACGCCGACTATTTGTACGTCTTCATGGAGCCGTACACCGGGGATCTGTTCTACGACGCCGGCGAGGAGCATGAGCAGGCGGTCCGCACACGGGCAACCCAGCTGCTGCAGGTGCTCCAGGTGTTACACCGCAGTGGCCGGGTGCACGGCGACGTGTGCCTCGAGAAGGTGGTCGTGGCCGACGAGTCCAACATTCTCAGGATCGTGGGCTACGCCCACATGATGAACGTGCACGCCCCGGGCGACACGCACAACGAGGCCCACGTGCCGCGGGACCGCGTGACTGGCAGGGCGCTCCTCAGGCCACCGGAGACGGTGAGCCCCCCCCCCGGCGCTTGCAGCTCGGCGAAGAAGCGGGACGTGTACCAGGCCGCGTGCACGATCTTCGCGCTCGCGACGTCGGTCTACCCGTTCGCGACCGTGTGCGAGGCCCTGAGCCCAGCCCCACGGGCGGAGCTGCCGACGGGAGCTTGCGCGGCGAGCGTCAAGAAGCTCAGGCGTCGAGGGAAGAAACACGATGACCATGATCAAGGTGTCGCGACGTCTTGTCGACGCCGATCTTGGTCGCGGGGATGATCCACTAAGCGACGGTGACCGAGATGGACGATGACCAGGATCGACACCGACGTTTCCGCCCTCGGTCTTGGTCATGGTCATCGACTTCGTTTCCTCCACAGGAGGTACTTGCCCAGCGCCTCGCCCGAGCTCCAGGACTTCCTCGGCCGACTCATCGCGCCAAATCCCGACAGGCGGCTCACGGCCACGGAGGCGCTCGCACACCCATCCCGGGTGTTGCCAGAGGTGCCCCTGGCCAGAGGCGTCCCCAGGACCTCCAGCTTGAGGCCCCCCCGCGGCCTCCAGAGGCCGTGGGCGGAAAGCATGCAGTAGGCCCCGGTAGGCTCGCGTCGTGGCGACGCGGCGGCGATCCCGCCGGCGCCGCCGATCGGTCGATGCTGAATGATCTGACGTTTCGGAAACGGCCGATCGTTCAAGGTTGAAGGGTCACCCAACGCTTGGGTCGACACGACGCGAACCCCTCGCGAGCCAGGCCCCAGGGCCAGGCCCCTGGGCCGCGACTCCATGGATCTGGCGCGTCTTTGTCCGCGGATGCCCGTCGCGAAACGTAGCCTTGCGACCGCGTATCCACGTGATCGCGCCCCGAAAGCCACACCGCGGGGGCGTGGGTATGGATATGCTCGCCGCTCGTGGAGAGGCAAGGCCCAGGAGGGTGCCAGGAGCTCCAGAACTGCGCCAGAAGCTGGGGACACATCTGAGCGACGCAGTATCAAATTATCCCGGCAAAGCAACCTAACAGCGATGTGTAGGAGCATATCTGGAAGCATTCCCCTTAAGATTCAGATGAGAATCCAGTTGTAGAATTGTGCTGTTCTCGCAGTCGTAGTCGCATTCGCGATGACAGTCGCAGTGGCAACGGCAGTCACAGACACAGCCTCAGCCTCAGCCTGCCTCAGCCTCAGCCTCAGCCTGCCTCAGCCTCAGCCTGCCTCAGCCTCAGCCTCAGCCTGCTTCAGCCTCAGCCTCAGTCTGCCTTCAGCCTCGGCCTCAGCCTCAGGCTGCCTCAGGCCTCAGCCTTCAGCCTACACCCTCAGCTCAGCTCACAGCTGCTCCCCCCTCAGCCTCCCCCTGCCCAGCACCTGCCTCAGCCTCACCTCAGCCTCCTCAGCATTCAAAATGTGGCCGGGAATGGAGTTCTGGAACTCGAAGAACACGAAGTGGCCTACAGTTGGCTCCGGGCATTCAAAATCATGCCCAGGAATGGAGTTCTGGGAACTCGAAGACCACGAAGTGGCCTACAGTTGGCTCCGGGCATTCAAAATGTGGCCCGGGAATGGAGTTCTGGGAACTCGAAGAGCACGAAGTGGCCTACAGTTGGCTCCGGGCATTCAAAATGTGGCCCCGGGAATGGAGTTCTGGGGACTCGAAGAGCACGAAGTGGCCTACAGTTGGCTCCGGGCATTCAAAATGTGGCCCGGGAATGGAGTTCTGGGAAGTCGAAGAGCACGAAGTGGCCTACAGTTGGCTCCGGGCAAAATGTGGCCCGGGAATGGAGTT